AAAAAAGGTGTGGTTCATCCGACACGAAGGGTTGAATCACGCCCTTTCTGGTGTTTGCGCACACCCGAAGACGTTCGAATGTTGCCCGAATGGTATTCGTGTGAGTTTTTTTGAACCCGGGGGTCCGAGATGTATGTTCGTGTTGGGGTTCTCGAGGATGTTGTTTTGATGACGTTGCAAACCTATGTTGGAAACGAAGTATACCCTACCCTGTGATGTAGTTACATCTGCTTAGCTTTCGACTCAACTTTTGTACTATGAGAATATCTTACGGTTTTGACTTGTGCATTTCTAGTTGATTTTGTAGTATGAGAATATCTTGCGGTTTTGACTTGTGCATTTCGCGTCAATTTTGTACTACGAGAATTTTTTTGTGGTTTTTTTACTAACCTATCCTAACACTATTAATGGATGACCAATATATTTATACGCCTAGAAACTAGAATTTTATATTAATATATTCTTTGTAGAATATAATTCTCATTCATTTTTCGCCCTTGTTGTTTAGGCATCTTAAGAGATGCCGCTTATAAATCAATTTATTATCCCAATTCAATAAAGGTTATCTAAGTGATAAAATTTTATCGAAAGAAAGGAAAAATTAAAAGACATTTTTTTCGTTTAAAATCAACGAACTCTAAAAATCCTGTAACCAAATAAAAAGACCTTTTTTTATTTTTTAACTTTTATTTTTTTACTTTTTTTATTTACTAATGTTTAATTCTAATTTTACAATAATTATATATATAAAAAAATACTTTATTTTCTCTATCTTTATTTCATATTTTATTAGTTTTAAAAAAAAAAAAAATACAATTTTATTTATATTTACTAATGGTTAATTCTAATTTTTTTAAATTATATATAGAAAATACTTTATTTTCTCTATCTTTATTTATTTCATTTAATTAGTTTAAAAATAAAATTTTGTTGTTCCTTACATCTATCATACCGTATTCAACGGACATACCATTGCTTGGTATGTCCATTATGACAGTAAATTGCGCCGACGTGTAATTCAAATTGAAATGCCTTATTTCAATTCTAAATTGGGAATGGAGCAACAGATCATGTTGCTCCATAATCTGGTCCTCTAAATAAAGTGCAAATTGCGTCTGCAGGCATGCGCACAGCTTCTCCAGGAACCGCTCGTCCGTTGCCCAAGTTAATTCGAAGAGGAATGCCTGGCGGTCCCGCTCATCGGGACTTATCCTCAGGAGTACGGCTTTCGGCAAAGCCGACAGACAGCGTGCTGTTATTTCTGTTGTAGTTCATTGTAACTTTCCTTTTTAGCTCAGTTCACTTTTGATTCACTTTTGTTCTTTTGGCTCGGTATATATACTATTTTTCTTTCCGAACTATTTTTATCACAGAATTTTTCCGGTTTATGTTTCCTTCCGGACTATATTTTTATCGCAGAATTTTTGCGGTCTATTTTTTCTTTCCGGACTATATTTTTATCAGAGAATCTTTGTGGTTAAAATGTTTCTGCGCTAATCTGAGAATTTTTTGGGTTTAAAAAAAATGCGGTTATACAAATTGAAAAGTTTCTGCGCTAATTTATATCGCTCGTAAAATAGTTTGCAGGCGCAGATATTTTTAGTTTCCGTGAATCATATCTATGTATACCGTATATTGATGATGATATAATTGGCGAAGTGGATAAATTGTTATATATCCTTAATTCATCGATCATTTTTAGGAAGAAAATCTTGTGATCCTTGTTAATACAATAATCGTACGCTTCCAATAGATTTTCCAAATCTCTCGACGAGACCATCTTTTTATTTTTTTATTGCGAGCGATAATAAACAGATGAATTTATAGAAACAACTGATGACTATGCTATTATCTTGGTGTTTATTTATACTCTCTATCTATTTGTTTTTTTTTTTTATTTAAAAACCAGTTTTTTTTCTTTTCAAACAATCTCAATATTCTCTTTATTTATTAAATTGACCTTAACATAATTTCGTAACAGTATAACATTTTTGAGAGCGCATCTATATTTACAACAATGATAATTACATAAATTTGTATTTGTATTTGTATCTGTTTTATATAGAGTATCTATATTCGAGCAGTTAAAGTCATCTAAATTAAGTATGCAAATTTCCTTTCCAATTAGCGTCTTCACCCACTTCAACTTTTCAAGTCCTTTAACAAGTTGGATTTTGTGTGTGTTTTTCGGATATTCTTTAACATCTGTTAACGTTGAATTACCATCATCTCATCGTAATCCATGAAAATGCTTACACAACCAGTTGTTTGTAATCCTATCCTTCGTCATTAACTTTGAATATTTGAATAGAGGTTGAATTATGAAATTTTTGATTTGTGAGTCATCGGAGGCGGAGATGCAAACTTCTTTTGGAATAAATTTGAATTCGAATCTGCTTGAGGAGTAGTAATAGTGAACGGTATAGGATTACCAATCACTATTTTCAATACAAGAAGCAAAATATATATATTTATTTTCATTATAATATCCTTCTGTCTTGTTTGCCTAAAAAAGCGTGTTGCTGCGTTTAAAGATATAATGATCAAAA